TGTCTTCCCTACTTAAGGCTTCTTCTTTTGGTAACGCGACTTTAGATTTTGTTTCTTATATTCTTCTTCATCCTATTGACTGTGTGGCAATTTGTTTACATTTTTTTCCATCATGGCTTATAGGTAATTTCATTTCGTTAAATTATGTGTTTCATTAATTTATACCAAAGTTTTCAAATTTTATGTATAACAATTATTTCATTTTATATGTTATAGGACATGTTATTGAAAAAGGATGATTTGAGAAAATTAACCAAAAATGGGCGGAGCCACAAGCTATTTGAAGTCGATCTTCAAGACTTATTGTTTGTATGCGATATTTAATTTATTGTTTCTTAATTTTCCAATTGTTAATTCCAGTGGCAAAACAGCCTTAAAATGAGGCAGTGGAGAAGGGCTTAGTTCCGATGCAAGATGTATAGATGGCCTTTTACGATGGTATGTTGTCGATAGTTTAGTTTTGATTATGTTAACTTAGTTATTAAATCTAATTAATTTTAAGCTCAACATGAAAGACATAATTGATGATTTTTTTTCTGGTTCAAATTTTCAATCTACTGGTATTAGCTGATTCAATTCATTTGGAAAATTATTCAACAGTAAAGTTATGTCTGTTTTTTTGTGTGTAGTATACTTAATAATGTTCCAGTATAATAGAATTTTGATCATACGATACATCAAACGTTTGTTTATATTCTTACAACATCAAAACAATGCAGTTTGTTGTTCCGTGCATCGCACGGGTACAATTACTAGTAAGAAATAATTATTGCAACTGTTCATACGATTTAAGAAATTTAAATTATCATAATTGGATATTTTAGTTTTTATATAATATATATCATAACTTATGTTTATATATTTTCGAAATAAAATTGGATCGGATATAAGAATTTCCGATAATTTTTATACAATTCGAATTTCAATAAAAAATAATCAGAAAAAGCAGAAATCAAAATCTTGAAAATTGGAATTAAAATAACGGTTTATTATTCGAAGATTTCCTAATCGAAATTGAATTCGAATGAAAATTTCATTCCAATTCAACCCCTATGTGGATCCATATTATGGATCCATATTATATTTGGGCTGCTTTCACTTATCCGGCCCAACCCGCCCTACACCCTACACCCATTCTCACCTAACACCATTATACAACTCTCACCTACCACAATTAACTCTCACCTACAACCAATAGCTGAGCTGACTCGGAAACCCCTACCTTGCTGACTCAGCGTCTTCAAAATTCTCGAAATACCAGGTGCGTTTCTTCGATCTATGTAATTAAAGTATTTAATTAGTTGTTTAATATGTAATTATTAATTAACAGTGAGTTTTAATTGTAATTAAACACTGTAATTTATGCCTAATTAGGTGTTTAATTAACTGTGAAAAACTAAGTAATTACATTTCCTGGTCGGAATTTATTAATATTCCGATGGATTGTTGACTGTGCGATGGGTTATGGAACTTCGGTGATGCAACTACCAATTTGAACAGATATATATAGATCAAAGTTTGTGATTTTGAAAATGGATTTTAATTTTATTTTTCCGCAGCATAAGTAAAATAGCATTAATTAGTTCCATTCGTTTTTCTGGATTTGATTAATGCTGTGACTTTGATTACTGGTTTGAGAAAATTTGAGTTAGCAGAAAATTTCTTCAGTTTGAGGAAATTAATGTGAGGAATCATCACATGTTGTAATGTTGAATTTGGTGTTTACTTAAAAAGGAGAAACAAATATAAAACTGGATTAAAAACGGGCAATAAGGATCATTGATTACGGGAATTCTTGAATCGTTCTCGTTGACTAAATGATTCTTATTAAGCAAAAATTTATACCAAGTCTATTTCTTTAATTTTTACATTTGCCTAATCTGTTTGCGTACAAAAAATAGAAAAAAATGGGGAGGAACAAAACTTCGGAGCTAACAATTGCAGTGAAGCGTGAACAAAGGCTTGAAACCGAGAGGATAGCGAGGGAAAAAATTATGGAGGAGAAGGCTAAATATACCAACAATTTAATAAGGGGAAGAAAGGCCAAAGCAGTTAAAGAACAAGACGAAGCTGAGTACGAAGCGGCTATGGCACGTATCCAAAGAGAACTGGATAATGCCCACGCCAACTCTGAAGGAATGTGAAGGAATGTGAGATACAGGTTTGTGATACGAAAAAAACGTGCGGTTTTAATTTTCATGCTTTTGCGTAGACAGCAATTTTGGAGTTTGTTTGCGCTAAAAATAAAAGTCTTGTGATATACTATGTGATACACTCGAATGCAGAATCACACTCTGTGATACACTCGAATGCATAATTATGCAGAATTACTTGTGTATCACAGAGTAAACATATAGATGTGATTTATTTTTAGCGCAAACAAACTCCAAAATCGCTGTCTACGCAAAAGCATGAAAATTAAAACCGCACGTTTTTTTCGTATCCCAAATCTGTATCTCACATTCCTTCACATTCCTTCAGCGTTGGCGTGGGCATTATCCAGTTCTCTTTGGATACGTGCCATAGCCGCTTCATACTCAGCTTCGTCTTGTTCTTTAACTGCTTTGGCCTTTCTTCCCCTTATTAAATTGTTGGTATATTCAGAAGCTCTCGATTCGGTCACGGCTTCATTCTCACCAAAAACCTAGATGAACAAAATGTAACTGTTGATTTCAGAAACATATAGATGTGATTTATTATCAAATGTGTTTCAGATATGGTAACAAATCTTTTTTGCAGTCACATGTAAATAATCACAACAAATAAATATTTGATTGATGTCTATAAGGAAGAATTAACATGAAAAATATGAATAGATACACTCCTTCCTGCAAAAAATATATTCTTGATTATTGGTCAAAAACCTCAATCAAAATAGCCTTTTCCCAGTCACATGTCAATAATCACAACAAAGAAAAATTTAATTGATATCTAAAAGGAATAATTAACATCAACATATGAATAGATCTACTTTTTTCTGCAAAAAATATATTCATGATTATTGGTAACAAATCACAAACAATAAAGCTTTTTTGCAGTTTGGTGTCAACTATTACAACAAATAAATATTTAAATGGTATCTATAAGGAATAATTAACATCACAATATGAATAGATCTACTTTTTTTCTGCAAGAAATATATTCATGATTATTGGAAACAAATCACAAACAAGCTCTTTTGCAGTTTTATGTCAATTATTACAACAAATAAATATTTAATTGATGTCTATAAGGAATAATTAACATCAAAATATTAACAGATCTACTTTTTCTGCAAAAAAAAATATTCTTGATTATTGATAAAAAAATCTCAAACAACATATCTTTTTTGCAAACATTTAAAATAAATATAGGTATGGATCTACAAATAACGCTTGTCTTTGACCAAACATTCACATAACCATAGAATGAACAAAAAAAGGAACAGATCCAAACCTTCTTAAGAAAAACCATAAACGAGAAACCAAAATTAATAAAAAAAAATTAAAAAATAAATAAAAGAGACAAATAGTATGAAAAATAACAAACACAAATTAAATCTAGAGTTTGAAAATAATTTTTGTTTTGCATAATCATCTAGAAAATAATTTGGAAGAGAAAACCTTTGTGTAGATTTGCAACAGAAGATGAAGGTTAGTACAGATCTAATGCCTTTGCTTTTTGCAGATAGCTTTGCTTTTTGCAGAGATAGAGAGAGAGAGAAGAGAGAGAAGAGAGGGGGTAGAGAGAGAAAGTTGAGGTTTGATTTTTCATCTTCGATTTGCATTAGTTGTGTTGTAATAATACCAATCTTTTGACTTTTTAATTGTGGGGCCGCTTCAAATTCGGGGCTCGAGAAGAAGGTTTCCAACTTCTTATTTGGTGCCCTAGTATGAGTAGGCGATTGGGCTGGATTATGTGGGCTTTGGCAACATTTTGTTGTGACTTGGGATTTTTTTTTTATGGCTATTCGAAATTACTTATGACAAAATTAAATGAAAATTGAAATTTATTGTGCCAAACGCATCAAATTAATTAGCTATTAGCTTAAATTAATAATTAAATAGCTATTAAAAATTGTTTTTGAGTACAAACGGCCTTAATTTTTAGAATAAACAATTCTTACAAACCTATAATCTCCAATTTTATTTTTTTCTAAACGTTTTTTGGGAGGACTATTTTTATCACGTCAATTCAATAGGTGTGTTGGATTGGACCCATTCCAACTTTAAAACACCCAAAGATGGCACGCAATTAGTGGAATAAGTTAGTTAGTGGGTAATTAGTGATTAAGTGGGTAATTAGTGGGTAAATTAGTAGAATTAGTACTTTGCATTAGAATAGGTCTTGTTAGTTGCCCAATAAATAGCTTGCACTTTGCGCTTTGGTTTGCATGTTATGCATAGTCTTAGGCCCGTTTAGTTGTCAAGATAAATCATGATTAACTAAATAATTGGACTTAATTTGATGTTTGGTATTCCGAATAAATTGTCGGGTTGACCCGCCAAAATTATATAATCATGGTTTATTTTGGTTTATCTTGCATTTTATTGAAATTTTTTTGGTGGACGTCACAAGCTCCAATAAAATAATTGGGCTTCATTAAATTATTTAATCTTATCTTGTCAATCAAACGGGGGCCTTAGTGAAGTAATTAATCAATTACTATTATTTGTAAGCACTAGAAATTGAGTTAGGGTAACAAAATGAAGGGGGAATCAAGCTCTATATACAATCAAATACTTCTTTAATCTTCTCGATTTCCTCTTAATTCTTAAATTTAATCGTAAGTTCTGATACATGCTCTCACATATATATTCCACGTGGCTTATATATAATGTACAAACACATATCTAATGCAACCAACCTTACTATACGTTATCTTAGAGCAACCCCAATGGGGAATCAAATAGAAAATTAAATAGTAGAACTTCTAATTTGATGCTTCAAAACTCAAATTTGCATCTCTAGTTAAGGAATCAAAATTGTAGTTATTTTGATATTCATTTTTCGAGATACAAAAATGCATTCTAAAAAAATAATATCAACAAATTAACTACCCAAATCAACATATCATGTGTTGACATTGCAATTTAAATATATTTATACTTATAATTTAAATTTAATAATCCATTTAATTTGTTAATGTTTGAACGGTTCTCCTTTGGCGTTTGCTATTGCAACCTAATTCGGGTTTTTTAAGCAAAACTTTGTAACTAATTTGTAGGTAAGAATCCAATTTTTACCGTCTCTTTAAATTGGGCTTTACAACGAAGCGGTAGTAATTATTTAATTACGGTAAATTGTGTGTCGCACAAAGAGCTTCATTATAGGGCTCGAAATTGGTTTAATTCCACTTCACACCCTCGAAATATACTATTTTTGCACTATGCACCCTCGAAAAAAAATAATAGTACTTTGCACTCTTGAAACACAATAAATCATGCATAATGCACCCTGAATTGAATAATGAAGGCAATTTTATTTTTTATTGGTGTTTTTTTATCGGGGATGCAAAATAAATAAATAAAAATATTATGTTCTTCAACATCCAACCTAATTTCGAGTGCACAAAGTGCGGAAAAAAAAAATGCCGGATTATCTTACAAAATGAAATAAAATAAACTTTTATCACGAAATTATTCAATTGATGTATTTTTTTTATTGTAACTAGTGGAAATATTAGGTAAAAATATTTGGAAGAAAATATGATTTTTTGATAACTTGATAACGAAATAGCTGAAGGATTTTTTTTTCGTGACATATTTTTTTGGGATAAAAAAAAAATATAATTTTTAAATATGTTGATGAGATGTATTTTTATGTATGCACTTTATAGTTTCAAAATAATTGATGAATTAAAAAAATTTGACATTAGTCATCCTAAAAACTGCCACAAAAAATATTAAATTACATTTATTAGCGTTAAATTCATTTGGGGTGCATTATGCATGATTATTGTGTTTCAAGGGTGCAAAGTGCTATTAATTTTTTTCGAGGGTGCATAGTACCAAAATGGTATATTTCGAGGATGCAAAGTGGAATTAAGCCCTCGAAATTCTTCTAATTACGATGAAATTCGAAGGGCATAAACTTCAACTTCTTGTTCTAAGCTCTAGGTGGAATGGGACAATAGTTTATCGCCGGTGGAAGTGAGGATACACAAGTTATTTGTTTATTAATTGAGTAAATTACAACTTCCCCCGAGGTAAGGTTAAATTACGAAAACCCACTCCCTTTTTGAATAATTACAACTACCCTTTGGCTATGAATCTACTTATATGTTCACCCTTGTAGTTTCAAATTTAATGGAATCTTCAAGATTATGTGGAATATTTTTCAATTCGTACAAGTTTTATCTCATACCAGCTCCACATTTAGAAATAAGATGATCATAAGATGTGTATATTGGCTTGTAAATATCAGATTATGGTACATATAAAACTACCTTTTAGCACAAAAACGAGTACAAACTAGAATTATCAAAAAAAAAAAAGAGTACAAACTAAAAACTATGTCACGGAATTGAGAAGATTATGTTAAATTTGGCGCCATAAAGGTGGACGTGTAAGAAAATTCATAGTTGAGGGGGTGGTGGTAATTACCCAAACATGAGGGATTTTTTCAAAATTTGACCTTACCTCATGGGGTGGGCCGTAATTTACCCTTTATTTATTTACCCATTGTGTAATTTATAATGTTATAATCTTTGATTTTTATTTATAATTACTTAATCAAGTATTTTAATATGGTGTGTTATAGCCTATAGGTATACATATATACGGGATTGGGTTTCGATGGAGATTATACATAAGTTGGATTCTGCCAATGTCAATTGTGTGAGCTGGAATTCAGCTAATCCTCGTATGCATTGTTGGCTAGTATATGTTAAAACTTAACAGTATACACATATATATACATCTGGATAATATAAAATAAACGATAAATTCCACTTTCACCATTTGTACTACTGATTCGGTATCACTTTACCCAATTTTACTCTTGATTGCATTGATTTATCCTCTATTAATTCGTTAACTTTATGATGTTTTAATTCTACCAAATGCCCCTTTTTATGTGGTATAGTAAATATTTTTGGTGCACAAAAGCTACTATCTCTAGCTATAGAAAGTTATATTAGTACTTGAACATAAATAATGCAACGTAACCATACGTATTCTAACTATAAATGCACAATAATACAAAACTATATATTAAATCAAGCCACCATCTAGTTGAAATACAAATCAAACTACTTTGATGTTCATATTGAACATTGACATCTATTAATCACAAAACTTATGTATGTAAAAAATATGGCGTCACGGATCTGTTTAGAAATATATAATGATGCAAATATTACACAAATAAGATGTTCGTCGTCGCATTGTGAATCACTTGTTCTTGTCTTCGATTTCAAGTGTAAATAATTAAATATATGATTATTTATTATTTTAATGATATGACTCAACGTACAACTCACAAATTAATCATTCAATTTTGCGGAAAAAAAAACAAGAAAAAATCAACAAAAAAAAAAAGAAGAAAGAAAGAAAAGAAGGAATTAAGTTAATTGTTTAATAGAATCATTTAATTAGTCAAGGATTACACATTTGCAACATTAACCCGATAAAAAACCCCGTTCATCTGCAAAGTTGTAAATTATTTAATTCATATATTACTCGATATAAGCCCCAAAGCTTGAGCCTATAGTAACAAATCGATGTCATATGAGTTTGAACCTTCAACAATGAGGTCTGATGGTATCTGATCTCGAGTCAACCCAAAATCGACTCACGTGGCCCGATAAGCGGGCCCGAATAATCACATGATTGAGTCCAAACAATTCCTCTTAATTTGAATATTCTTTTATATTCCAACGGAATCTCTTTATCTTTTAGGCCCATATCATAATCAAATTGGGGTTCCAACTTCCCATAAACAAACAGTCAGAATCTCTTGCTTGTGCCAGCTATGCAATTCGCTGTGCATTTATTTTCCACATTAAAAAAAGAATATTAATTATAAAAAAATACATCTATACTTTTTAATTACCATAAAATAAATTAAATTCGATTTTTTTTTCTCCAAGTCAATATTTCTTAATTTTGTCTTCCTGTCTTCTCCCACCAGCACAATTCGGCCATTTTTCTTTTCTTGATTTCTTCTAAGTAAAAAGAGTTTTAAATAATTGTGTCTTGAATTACCTAGTCCAAGATCAAGTTGAAAATTCTTGCCCGAAACTTCATTATTAAGGTTTTTCATTTCATCCTTCTTCTTCTTCTTCCGCTTTTCTTTGATTAAACTTTTGTAAAGCTGGGTTTTTTTTGTGCTACTGATTGGACGCCTTTTGATCGCCCCCCTTTTTATTTTTTTTATAATTAATTTTGTTACTCACAGCTTGATTATGTATCTGAATTATCAATTGACGGCATATAAAATGTGAAATTTATGCGGAATTTCTTGAACTTGGTTTCTTGTCTTAACCTAACACCGAGCACGTGGAATTTGTGTGGTAGGTGTACGAATATGTGCTGGGTTTGGTATTTGCTGTGTGTAAAGTTGCTTTTTTTTTTTTTAAAATAAAATTTTAATTTTTTTTTGCAGTCTTGAATCTTGATAAGTTTGAGGGTTTTCATTTCTAGTTGCTGATTTTGTATGAAGTGTAGTACAATTATAGGATTATTGAATTTCCGTTGTGGGTTCGAATCGTCTTACGAATAATCGTCGTGTATGCAGATGTGGGATTGAGTCGTTAATTCGTGTAGTGGCTGAAAGGATTAATCTTGGATAAAACCCAGATGAAATGGATAGGATTGGGATTGATAATGGGATTGATAAATCCCCTCCTAGCGCATCGAGTGGGATAGGGGGTGAGGGAGGCAGTTTAATGGAAGCGACGAGCATTGATCTCAATCAAGAAACAAGTGGTACCAAAGTTTGTAGGACAAGTATGTTACATACATATGAAAATGTATCTATAGACGAGCAGTCCAATCAGTATTCGACACCCGAAACTAACCATCAAAGACCAAAATTAATGAACTCATCTTCTGTTGTCGAGGTTTCAAAGGGCTTCAGTCTTAGTCCATCTCTTGGGGCTCGAAGAGGTTACTTCTTGTTCAGTCTTAGACCAAAATATTTGTCCGATTTTTTTTTTTTAATAATATTTTTTCGTTGGAAATGTTAAGGGTTGGATTATTGTATCACGGCACCGGTGCAGAGAAATCTATTCCTTGAGAGCCAAGAATCTGCGATTTCGAGGTCTATGAGTGAGAAGAGGGGTACTCCTATGCCTCCTTTAAAGTTGGATCGACTCTCCGAACGCGAGAAGGTGAAAATCTCGCTGTACACAATGTCTCGAATTTTCCTCGTTTATTTAATGTTTCTGGTTTACGTTTTCTTGTGTTTGTTCATATGTTATGTTTACGCGTGTGAATATACGTAAGAGAAGACAAAACTGACAAAGATGCAGTTAGTGTGAATAGAAGCCTGCAATTTTTTTACGATCATGT